TTTTGTTGATTTGTTTTTACAAAAAGAATTTCTTTTCCTAACTTATATTCTTATTATGAATGAATGCTTCATTTTTAGGAGAAAGATAAAGTTTTTATTTTTGTCTTTGCTCATAAAACTTTTCCAAATCTCAAGAAAATAAAATATCCTTGAAATATCGATGACAAACGAAAGAAATTTTAAAGAAATGTTTTTTTTTTATATTTCTTCTTCAAAAAATACCTTTTTTTATCATTTCTATGATAGTTGTTGTTTTAATTTATTTTTCAAAATATCTTCTACAAAATGAAACTGATTGATTGATGAAATCCTAGCAAAACGAAAAACAAAAAAAATTTGATGTTTCTCTATAAGTGAGGACAGTCGAACAAGCATTTATTTATCGATAAATCCAAAATATAATGATTTCGTAATATAAAATGTTTTTGTCTCAAAAATGAATTTTTAGAATTAGTAGTTTTTTTTCCAGTCTGTCTTACATACTTTCTTTTGATAGATAAAAGAAAACGTAAAATTGTATGAGTAACTTAATCTTGTTTTTCTTTTTAAATTTCAAAAGAAAGAGAAAATTTAATCAGAAAATTTTATGATTTATTAGATGATACCTATAGAAAGTAATTATCAATTATTGCCTTTCTTTTCTGTTTTATAAAAGATTTAAACATTTCTTAGTTTCACGTACATAACCAAACTTCTAGTGTACTGTAATGGTTCATCTTTATATAAGAAGCCCTCAAGACAAGTTAATTCATCAACTCGAGTTGATTTTAATGAAGACTTTTCGTTTGATTACAAAGGATAATTCATTGAACATATTAACTTTGTAGAAAATGTGATCTTCATTTTAAGAATAGTTGAGATATTGACATGGGTATAATCATCAAGATCTGCCATAAGATAAAATTAAATTTTCTTGGTCATATGTATCAATTATGAGTAGACAATAAATGTAATAAAGGAGTAACTATCATTCACTTATTATGAAGGATAACTGTATAAAATAAATCTTTTCGATAAGCACGTTCTGTAAATATCACAACAAACTATCAATAACCTGTATTACTGACTTTTATATATGTATTCAATTGCATTCACAAATTCAGAGAAATAGTGATGAATATAAAACTCTCAAAATTATTTTCAAAATTAGATTTAATCATTTCGTGATTGTGGATAGATAAAAAAACGAATGTTGAGGCACATGCACCAGAAGTCATGAATTCCTCTCACAATATACAGCTGATTATACAGTATATATTATCGGTTTATTTTTGTTTTCCAGATATATCTATAGAAAAACAATTATTCATTTTACAGATTACCAATAGAAAACAGTGACTCAAAAACGATACTATTTCTAGCCTTTGGCAATAGTTTTTTATACTAAACTACATACGATAAAATGTTAGTAGAAAGAATGAATTGAGTTTAGATTTTATAAGCACTATCATTTTTACACATTTCACTTTCTTTTGAACGTAATCTAATGTAATGCGTAAAGACAAGAGGAATGTCGTGCTCTTACTTCATTTTGTGACAATTTTTTCTTTCCACTTGAACAATGCATCACTTGTCACAAGGCCCAAGTGAAATCAGTTAATTGATCATATCAACTGAATCATGAAAATTGAGAAATATAAGAAAGAACAGAATTGTTTTGTTGATTGAAAATTCCAAAAACTAAATGCTTTTATTGATCAAATCTATTCAGTTTGTTTAAATATTCATGAGTATTGATCAATGAAATAGATAATTGTTTCTAGTTACTGAAAAAAATCACTGTCTACGAAATTATATCATATGCTTAGAATTAAATGAAGTATATTCTGTGTTTTTATAGATTGCAACTTTATAGACGATAAAAACAAATCTAAGTAAAAAATAAACTTGTCAATGTAATGATTTCATGATAGTAATAGACCATTGTAGGTGTATTCGTGTATTTCATATGATTTTTTTCTCTCTTACAAAAATTGTTCAACAGATAAAAGAACTTGCTTTTGTTTTCATAGTATTTAGTGTATTCAAATCTTTCGTCAAATTATTGTTGGTATATTGTTTGTTTCGATTGGATGGAGATGTTCTGAAGTTTCCTAAAAAATAAAACATACTCAACAACTTATTTATGTATTTTTCTCGTTAAGTTTTGATGTTTTTGAAAATAATAGATGCCTTTTTGGAGATATATCTGTTGTCCATAATTTTATAAAGACAATTAGAAAAATGATTAATTAAATAGGTATATACACAGCTAAAGGCCTACATAGCTAGACTAGAATATTTTTTATTAGAATTATCTTGATTTCCGTAATTGATATGACAAAGAACAAATTGATTTTTTTGTTTCTGATTTTTTTTGCCGATTGCGTTATGCAATGAACTGATGTAGTTATCGAGTGTTTGTAAAACGGACACTTTTATTGCGATATTTATTTTGTTTTTCTTTCCAAAAAAAGTGAACAAACGTGAGTAAATAATAGGTGAGAAAATGTACAAGCAAGACATTTCATTTGAAGAGAGCTTGTTACAATGCATAATTGAACTAAAGAAATAATAAAATAATGTATAAAAGGAAATTACTAAGATTATTAGTTAATAAAATTGATCTGAATATGAGGTATCTTTTGTTTATGCTTTATATTTATTTATTTAAATCTTATAATTTCAATTAGTTTGTTATATGTTGACAATAATAAGAAAATATTTTGTTATACTCGAAGTACGTTAATTTCGTTGACTGAAAAGTGTCTCTGCCTTTTTAGAAATCAAATTATGTATAGATCAAATATTTGATTTTGTAAAAGAAATCTCAATAATAATAAATCAATTAATTAATCAACCATATATTTCTTTTCTCATTAGACTTTCAATGAAAAAATGATGATAAAGATGTGTTAACATTCTATGTGTGTGAAAGAATTTTGGTAGGAACTATATGTTAGGAAGTATAAGTGAATCGTTGAAAAGTAGGAGAAAAATTTGATCTAAATGATATTTAAAGAAAATTGCAAACGTCTCCTATGAAATGATATCCTCCTCGTCACTTTTATGAGAAGTTTCTATCAATAAAAAGGCTTATAATAAAAGACTTATTGGCATACTTATATTTGATATATATGATAGAATTCAGATTGATGTTGATACTTAAAGAATATTTGTGTAAAGTTTTTTGTTTAAAATATCAAGTAACTTCTCCCGATTGTAACGTATTAAACAATGAGTCTTTTGATAAGATTCATAAACAATTTTCTTTATGTTCTAATATTTATTCATATTTAATTTATATTTCTTTTTTCAAATGACCTCAGTTCAATTCAAATAGTCATTAGTCCAGAAATCTTACTCATATGAACTGCTGATCGCAAGATTCAATTAGTATGATTAGGTACACCAGATCAGGCATCATATGATCATGGTTGCATAAGAGAAAAATCATTTTTGAATTTTAATATCAAGACAGACGAACTCTTTGCCAGTATTTTCATATGAAGAAATCCAATATGATTTTTTTTTATATTAACCTCTTTGTATATCTGTTGTGTCTGTTATTTATTTGATTAAATTAGTAAATTGAATGAAGGCATTAATAATTGTTTTCTTATTCAAACAATTAATGTGGAAAATCAGCTATTGTAATCAATTTAAATTAAATAGTCTGGTTGCTTTGCCTTTTATTTTGAAGAAAGTTCGTTTCCAGGAAAAAGTGCATTTTGATCAGAGACTTCTCTTTAGGTTCTCTAATAGTGTAGAGCTAAGTTCAAATTTGGGTGTGGGTGTAGATAAAGAGAAGACCCCTACCCACATTCACACACCCACACCCTTCAAAAAAATTTCTTCAAAAGAAAATTTTTATCAAGATCAAATAACAGGAAAATTAGAAGCTGTTGGAGATACAGTAGAACCATTTCATTTTATTTTACATCCAAAAGATGAACAAAGTTTAACTCGTGAAGATCAAGATAAAGGAAAAGAATTATATTCACTTTTAGTTCAATTTGAAATTATTCAAGGAGATACAATAAGAAAAATATTTCGAAATAATTTACAAGAATGAAATAAAACAGAAAAAATAATTCGAAATGATCTTGATCCTTCGAGTGCCGATCCATTAATTAGTTTATAAAATAGTAAATCTTCTTTTAAAAAAAAAAGATTTCGAAAATATTGTTTGTTATAGTGAAGAATTATGGCAAATTTTAAATATAAATAGAATAGAAAAAGAATTACCACAGATATATGAAAATGTTGGGAAAGATTTAGAAGATAAAATAGATCCACAACAAGTTAATATTTCTCTATTTGAACAATCAATAGAAAGGAAAATATGCGAAAATTAAATTTAATGATAATGGTCATGAAACAAAAGATCTTAAAACATTTTTAATAGAATTAAAAGATAATATTAGTCAACAAAATCAATATTTTATCAACACAGATTTACCATTTACTACTAAAGAAGAAGAAGGAAATAATATTCGAATTTATCAAAAAGAAAAAAAATATTTTAAAGTATGGTGGACTTGCTAAATATAAATATGGAGATATTAAAAGAAATATTGAAAGAATTTTAAATAAAATTTTAAAAAACACTCAATTTGAAAATGATAAAGAATTAATTTTGTCGAAAATTTTGTCTTTACAAGGAGATATTCGTTCATTTAAAAAAGGTTTAAAAGCTAATTTAAAAGATTTTATAGATCTTCAAGATCAAGAAAATGTTCCAAGTGAATTAAGAGTTTTTTAAAGGTTTTAATCTTAATAAATTTTTGATTATTGAAGAAGATAAATCTTGGTGGGATTGAAATGCTTTTGTCGTTGCAATGATAGGACTTGTTCAAGTCATTGCCGAAGCTGTTTTAGTAGCCTTTGGTTTGACTCAGATAGGCAATGCTTTAATATCAGGTACTTTTAGTTGGAAAGAATGGGCAATACAAAAAGCAATTAGCTTCGGTCTCTCTATGTTGACTGCTGGAATTGTAAAGTTTTTGACGGATAAAATTATGGAACAGATTCAAGAAAATGTTATACAAAAGATTGTTAATGAAATAGAAAATTTATTAAAAGAAATAATCGGTTTAATAAATAATAAAGTAGAAACTGTTTATCTTCAAAGTAAAAATGAAGAAGAGTTCGAAAAATCTTTTGAAGAATTGAAAAAACATATTAGAAAAAACACTAGGAAAAGATATTTTATTACCTCAACAATGTGATAATATTCGAACACGAGTTGTATCTTCTTTAAGAAATAGTTATCCTCTATTTGCTGATGGTCTAAAGAAATCAAATTCAAAATACGTTAAAATAGCTGCTACTACTCTTAAAGCAATAGATATCATTAATAAGTTGTGGACTGTAGCTCAATCTGTCTTACAGTTCGAACATGTCTTTATAATACTTTAAAAGATATTATTGAAGGTACTACCGAAGAAAATCAGAATATTTACAGAAAAAATATTAATCAGAACCTTGTCGAAACAAGAGCAGAACAATTGAATAGAATCATTAGAGAATATATATCAACTAAATTAACAAAAGAATTAAATAAAGTAGTAAGACAAGCTATTAATGGAACATTAAAACAGATTGGAAAAACCATTGTACAAGGAATAAAGACAATGGTTGATTCACAATTTAATGGAAAAAATCCAGCTAATATATTGAAACAATCGAATCAAAATAGACAAAATCATGCAGAAAGTCAAATTGCTAATAAATCAAGATTCAAAGAAAGAATAACAAGATCAAGCGAAAAGAGAAGATCTACAAAATAATATTAGAAATCCAAAACAAATTACTGGAAGTTATTTGAGAGAAGCAAAAGATAAAGATAGAGCTTTAGGTCTAGCTGATATCAAAATGTTAGCAGATCGTAAAAGAAGAAAAATAACTGTTTACAATTCAGATATTGGCGAAAAAGAAATAATAAATCCTTCAGAAGTAAAAAAAATACTTGCTCTTTTTAAACAATCTGCTAAAATCTATTATGAAGCAGATGAAAATGGAGATATTGGACATTATTTTACTGGTAGAGGAACAGAAACATATATACAGATCAATGGGCGGAAAGATTGTTTGCTAATAGCTTATCATGAATCATTAGGTAGAAAAGTAAATGAAAATATTATAGGACAAGAACGAGTATCACTACGCCGTTATACTGCTAAACATTCAGAAAAATATGTTAGAGACGTAGATGGAAGATTGATTTGAATAGATGTAATCAGATGATAGGTGGTACACCAAAGAAAAACCTTTACATCTTCAATCCTATCACTGTAATGCAGGATGGTTCTAGAAAAAGAAATAAAATATAAATTAATACCTGAAGCTATGAAAAAATTAAGGAATGAAAATGATAAAGTAGTGGTAATTACGTCTCAGCCATTTAAGGCGGGTACAATAAAGCAAACAGATAATGTACGCTTAGATGATCAGAATTTTACTGGAAATAGTGACTATGTTAATTTTCAAGTGCAAATAGGTGGACAGAGATATAAACATCAACATAGGGGTAATGAATCTACAACTGTCGCACATATTTTAGTGACAATACCACCAACAGATTTTGATGCTGTTTATCATTATAGTAAAATTACTTGCAGAAAATCTTTAATAGGCATTTCAAATTAATCACCTTTAAGTTTTGGTTAAAATTTATATGTGAACAGTATTAAGATCTTTTCCATCGATACAATGCTCCTATTATTGTTTAAATAAATCTCATTATTAGTAGTATATTCCCTTTCTCCTTATGTATTTTCAGCAATCAATGTGTTGCCTTCTTCAGATTTTATTGATCGAATGAAATGTACTAGAATATATACATATTCACCTTTCTGTTTTTATACAATTTGACAGTAGATCAGTAGAACAGTAATAACTTGCAGGAGTGACTTTTCTCTTGTTATTTTCTTTGAATGATGACATGATCTCGGCAATACTAGCCAGAAAAGTCTGTACATCCTCAATCACCAAAGACTGGGGGTGCTTAGTTTGACTGAAAGCTCCAGTTCTTTTTCTATCATCTTGCTTCCATAATACATCAGAAAAAAATGTTTTTTTTTACCACTTACAGTGTTTGCATAATGCTAATGAACGCTATCTCATGTGAAATCAAAATCTTCAAAAAAATCTGTTTGTAAGTAGAAAAATATTTTTTCAAGACTTTGATTATTTTGATTTTACATAAGATAGAGACTCCTTAGACTTGCCTGTTCATTAGAATTATGTGAACATTATAAGTGGTAAAAAAATCATTTTATGGAAGCAAGACGATAGAAAAAGAATTGGGGTTTCCGGTCAAACTCAGCACTTCCGTATTATTCCAACTTTGCCTATAGATTTTTATGTATTCTGTTACAATCAAGTCACAATTTACTGCAAAAACATTCATATTTTTGTGTGTACAAAGTTTCATCAAACTAATAAAGAAATGTAAGTTTAAAGCTAAAAAATTTTACTAATATCCATTCTCTGTTTAAAAACGCCTATTAATTGAAGTATCTCAATTATTTTCACTTATGTATTGCGTTTTTTTGTACAACAAGTTGTCTGTTATGTTTTATTATTCCTCTTTCATTATTGTACTGTTTCCTATTCTATAATAATTTTCAGTATATTGTGCCAACATATTTATATTATATATTAATATGTTGAAATTGAGTGTTCCTTCTCTTTTCTGTATTACCCACACTTTTGATCTTGTGGATGATTTCTAGCAAATGACGGCTAGTCTCTCTCCCATACTGCTGTCTAGTTAATTTGGTACTAATAAGACAAAAGAAAATATGAGCAAAAGAAGATCGAACTGAAGCATTTTAATTGGTCTTGTTAGCATCGTATACTTCATGCCTCACTATAACATTGATGACGTGAACTGATCTGATAACCATTTTGTCTGACGGTACACTCAAAATTAACCGAAATTAATATCCAAAATAATCAGTAATACCTTGATCAGAATATCTTGATTGTGAACATTTGCAGAACATTTCAAGATGAAAATGTGTCCCTACGTTGTCATTAATAGTCAAAGACTAAACTTTATCTTCGATACAACAACAAAAATTTTCCGGATCGAGTATGTGTAACGAGACCTATCAACACGTTGAAATTTTTGTTAAGAAGGCAAGCTTTGATTCGTTCTATCATGACACTGTAGTGGATTTACTCATGAAAGTAAAACAATTGAAATCAAGTGAATATGCGATAACTTACGAAAATTAGCAAATCTTGATACTATCAAAATCAAATTTTTCATAAAACCAGTATCAAGCTAATCCATCTGAAATTCTGGGCGTCAAGAACTAGCGTGATTATCTTATTTCATGACATTTCAGTAAAGGAACTTACATCCTGAAATGCATCCAAATCGATTGCACAGATTTGATGTAATTCTATTACAACAAAATGATTATAGTCAATCACACATTGAGCTCAATGTCATCACAGAGAATATAATGTTTGCGAAAAATATAATCATCTATATCGATAATGTCTACTGCTATCAAATAGAAATCATGCTAAAGGTATTATTCATATATGTTTGTTCTCTTTCTTTTTGTCAAGTATTTTCTCTATTGTTTTCTGTTGGGGTCTTCTTATACCGGTTTTTCTTGCTTTGATATCCTAACGTATATATTTTCCAAATGTATTGCGTTATCTTTTGATATATTCCATTTTTTTGCTTAATATTTGATGTAATATCTGGTGTGGGTGTGGGTGTCGTTGTGGATATCTCTTTTGTTTATAATGACAGGCAAATCCATACTCACACCCACACCCAAGTTTCTAAAGATTTTTAAAAATTTCGTAGCTAACAGTAAACTCTTTCAGTTCTGTTTTCTGACTCAGAAGACAAAGCCGACACTTTTTCTCTTCCTACTTTGTAAAATGGGTTATATGAGTCATATAAAATGAAGAAATGACTACCGTGGATAGTTTATAACATAAATATTTAAAGGTTCATTTTTTTTCAACAAGTAAGTACACGAATATCAAGAAGATTCGAACAAGTTTTTGCTATTTATTTTTGTGCCTTTGATTCAAAGAGGAAAGACTCGTAAGACAAAGCAAGTCGTTCCTTGGAAGACATTCATTTTAATTTACAATATGGCGAAATGCGTCAATTATAGTAGGAAGTTCGATGTGGAGCGTGAGCGCGAATGTATATATGCTCTCTAACGTTTTGATCTAGCTACGAATAATATTTAGAAATGAGAGTTACATTTCAATTGACACCCAAACTCAAAATCTGGTCCATACGGTTTACTTCAATATGACTGACAAAGGCGGCTAATGTCATAGCTGTAGACAAAACCTCTACTTTTTATATCCCTGAGATGGACTATACTATTTAATGATTTTTTTCTTTGCAGAACCAGCACAATAACCATCTCATTTTAACATGATACTCACCTTTCGACTCAATATTCTAGATGACTTCGATACCGCTGCCGACAAACAACATTGATTGGAACATTTTGCCATTTCAAGATGGTTAGTCTGATGACAAACTTTAATTTGAAGTTTTCTTACACAGCGAAGATTTTTTTATGAGTTGAGTACTCTTGATTATAAAACTCTGAGTCCATTTTACTATTTATTTTAAGTCTGGGAAAATATTCAGATCAGAAACTCGGATCAGATAAGATTGTCTAGAAGTCAGATCTCATCCAATCCGTAGATGGAACTCAGCAAGTTGATGATTATCGAATACTTTCTGACTTTATTAAATTATAATGAGCAGCTATAAATTTTGCTGTTGAGTAGAACAGCTCGAATCATCGCAATTTCCAAGAACGGGAGCGAGGAGGCAATATACATTGCTTGCTTTCAATAACTGATATTTAAAACCTTCAAAATTGTTTCACTTATTAATTATTACTTGTATTGAAAATTCTAACAACATTTTTTTCATTTCATTGTATGAACTGTTCAAAATTCATACAGATATATACTAGTTTAACCTGACAGTTCTGCAGTGGAAAAGTATGTGTGAGTTTCTTTTCACATAAGACAAAAATTTAGAAACAATCGATGCATCGTTCGACTCTGTGAATCATATACAGATGCAAGAATTCCGATATTGTTAAAACTTGCAATTCAACTTTGAAACTGCCAATCAGAAGGTTAGTAAAATACTGCAAGCTTCACATAGAAACAGCAAAAACGTTGAAGGAAATTTTTCAATATTTGTAGCAAAGAAGTTTTTTCGTTTGAACTTTTCATTATATGACAATATAGAAAAGCTATTTTTCCATTAAAATGTTCTTAATCAGCTTTATTTTGAAAAATATGATTTTTATATAGGAAAATAAGTGGAAATGTTGATTTGGACTTTAACACCAATACCATCTAAAAATAGTACTACTATTTGTCAATGTTATGTACTAAGAGCA